AGCCGCTCACTGTCCCAAGAAGCTATTTTTCGCACCATAAGTGCACTGCAGTGAAACAACTTCCTCTTATGTGACCCCAAACCTTCACCTGGACAAGCTGTACATATGTGGGCCACTGCCAAATTAGCAAGAGACCCATTTCACAGGAAGCTGGAGTCTTCTGGAAACTTCCGTTTATAGGAATGCAATTATCATGCAATTCCTCTTTGAACCCACACCTCTTTTTTTTCCCCTTGACCTGTCCCTCCTGTGAGGGGCTGCTGGCTGGGGCAGCACGGGCTCCCCCGAGCCCTGCCTGGCACTGGGCTCAGCACGGCAACAGCCTCACAATAACCTCAGGCTGGTGCTGAGACCCTCAGGCAGAAGGTGCTGCGAGTCCTCACTTAAATGACATTAATACTGCACTGCTGGCATGGTGGATTGGGCAAAGGTCGCTAAAACCTAAAAAAGAAAAAAAACCCTACAATCAGCCACCAGGCACAGGTGCAAGCCAACCCCGACAGATGCTGCACAGAACATATCCTCCCTGTCCTTTCTCAGCTGAGTACCCTCAAAACACGACATTAAATCCACTCCTTTTCCCACACTGTCACACAGATATCCAATGTCCCTCTGCATGCTGCATCCCAAAACCTTGCTTGTACTAGAGTGAAAGAAAACATATTTAAGTCAAGAAGGCGATTGCATTGCAGAGTCCTTTTGTGCCATGCTGCAGGTGTACATAACAAACCAGGAGGTAATCAAGGAATCTGTCCAGATCCAGCCTTTAACTAAGGGGTCAGGGAATGGGATGGAAAACAAGGTCTAATATGTATGTATGATGAAAGGTTGACAGTTATTTCATTGTGTGCTTCAGTCTGAAAACCACAGTGACAATGATACTGGAATGTGGTTTTCGTCACCATGAGTACTTCACGCCAGGGGGAGAGGTCTTTTACATGCATGAGAAATCCTGTGCTTTGGGGGCTGCACAACTTAAAGAAGATGGGCTCTGAAACTACGTACAAAAATCCTGTTCTCCCAGACAAGCTGTGGCAGAAGGAGATGAATTATTTGCATGTGGGACATGCCTAAAGCCAAAGAGCAGAGGAGAGCTCACCTGTGCAGACCTGCACCTGCTTAGGGATCTGTCCTGCTACTGCATATTTTGGCTTCTGGGGAGTTTTTTGAAACAAGGCTCATATTTGACAGGCATCCTCCTTTGCAACTGCAGAGCATCTCAGTGGACACGGTAGCAGGCATTTTTATGAAAAACCTGGGATTGCACAGTAGTAATTGGGGCATGAGGGAATAACACAATGGCCCAAACAACCACAATAGTTTTAGCAGTCACCACTAAATGTATCTCTCTTGCTTTCCAGGTACCTAACTTAGGAATTGTAGTACCAACAGACCTTGCCCACACCTTGCAAGCAGCTCCCTGTGAGCTCGTGCCTGACTTCTCCACATTAGAGAAGTACCCTCTGCTCTGAAGACGCTTTCCACAAGCTCCAAGTTTACAGAGATGACAAGAAACACAGGATGCAGCTGTACACCAAGGGTATCTAGAGCAACAACACCTTTCCACACTTGTGGACTTCTTTGGGTGGAGAATTTTCTCATGACTGAGGAAACTGATGCATCCATCAAAATCTAAGCTGATGCTGACTAAGAGGTTTCTTCTCTTCCTGTTACATCCTCTGCAGCTCAAGAGGGAATTTCCTGCCCAGTTAATATTTGGAGAACACATTCCACACTCTCAGCACATGGTTGAATGGGAAGGAGACCCAGCACAAGGACTGGCAGCTGCAGGGAAAGGGCAGATGTAGTGTGTGCCAAATGCCACAGTGGCCCCAGTCCCCAGGCCAGGCTGTCCCAAGTCGATTTCCCTGCCTGGCTCGTTTCTTCCCATCCTTGTGCTCTGCTGCAGGACAGCAATGCACAGCTCAGCCCCAGCACCCCAGCTCCCCTCACGAACAAACTGGACTTTAAGGAAAAGGAGTTGATCTTCCTCAAAACTCCCAATTAAAAGATGAGAGCTGACAATACTCTCACTGCCAGACAAGAGATGAAGCTGCAAGATAGAGGCATCTTTCCTTCCTTGTACTGCAGCAGCAACTGGTTCAATATACACAGGGAACATGATCTTTCCCCTGTCAAGGGTGTTCACAAGGTTTAGACAAAAGCACATTAATAATCAGTTTCCCTTTTCTGCACTTTTTTCAAGCTTGGACACCAAAACCAAGCATTACTTTTGTTTCTTGCCTGTGGGTTGTTTTTGATGAGGGCTGGAATTGGTGGTGTCCACCCTTTGGAAGGTTTCACTGCTGTTCATAATACAAACACAAAATGGTAAAATCTCCCTTTGGGTAGATGCATTTACACTGGCATAAAAGTCCTAAGCATGCTAATTTTTTTCTGACTCAGGGCTAAGCTATTAAAGTAAAACATCTTGATGCTAATATAGCAAATAAACCTGAGTTGAAAAAATACACAAAACACAGTTATGCTACTAAAACTTTCAAGTGTAGACAAAAATAATCACAAGCAACAAATAACAACAGCTTTGTGGAGCCCTCTAGACACTGAACATTGTCATATATTGTGTCAACACAGGGCATTTCCAATTTAATTGTCAGTTTCATACACACCTTCTTGTGAGAGTACCTAGAGCATTGAAGTCTTGTGCTCATTGCCATCCATTTTCATTCCACGTTTGCCCTAGCCCACAGCTAGAGTACTTGTCTTGTACACATTCCAGGGGATATTTTATTCTTGTTCAAAAGCTTACCGTCAGTGGGTTATTTTATTTATTATATTTGGTAACACAGTAATTTCTGTTGGCCTCAAGCATTTGTTGAACACAAGGGGGTAAACCAAGCTTAGAAAGAGCCAGCTTGAGACTCCTTAGGAACTTCAATTTTTGACAGCATCATACATATTTTGCTTACTACAAATGAGATACTTTTCAGAGCACTTTGGGCTGAAACTATTTACAAACATGAGCATTGTAGCTTTTTTCCTTCTCCAAACTAGTTATTAAAAAAAAAAAGAGTCTCCTGGTAGTACAGGAGTGTGCTCAGCAGTGTACAAAACAATGGAGTTCAATGGCAGAAAGAGAGAAGAATGCAATGGTGTATGGGCAGCAGAGCTGAAGGTGAGAGGCTAATTCTTTGTCCCCAGAATTCCTCTGTCTGTGCTATTGCTTTCATGCTAAAGCATCTGTAACTACTCTTCTGCTGCCCTAATAATTTAAGTTTGCCCTATGCAGCTGGGAGCTGAGAGGGGAGCCCGAGCACGGCAGCATGTCAGACAGCAAGCACACAGTACTAACCACAGCACTGTCTCAGTGCTGGAAACAGGGACCTCCTTTCCCAAGGGAACCTACAGCTTTCCTTCTCACCACCACAAAGAGCATGGAAAACTTGGCTCTGTCCACACAACAAACCACACTCTTGGGTTTCCCAGAAAAAGAGGAATAGGTGCTGGGTGCACAGTGGATGCCTGAAGTGTTTGAAGAGAATCAGATGCAGCCCCCAAAATCTCTATCTCACTGCAGTGGCAAGCAAGGAGAGAGCAGTAAAATCCTCCCAGCCTGAGGAGAAAAGGTGCCTTTTGGTGGATGACACAAATTTGGGAGCAATTAATAATTAAATACGAGAGCAATGTGGCGGGGAAAAGGGCAAATTAGATACCCTACCTTTGAATTGTGGCTAGCCGTAGTCAACAAATTCCAGTGACTGCTACAGCAAAAAGTGAATTCACTTTAGTTGATACTTGACCTGAAGTGTGTCCTGCAGAGGCACAGGACTGCAGACTGGCACCTGCAAAGCAATGGGGTAACTGGACTGATCTCCCCTGACAGCTCCCCTCTCATTCACTTTCTCATGGCATTTGTAGCACCATTCTGTGATCTCCTTGGGGCCACTGATCCTATGGACAACTGGAGTCCATGGAATTAGGCCGGTTTAACCGGTGGAGCGGCACATTTTCTCCTGAGAGTGCTCATGTCAGCAGAAGTCTGGATGGGGGGAGCAATGCAGGGACTGGTGCTCTCTTCGCAAGCAGAGACCCTGTATAGGTTTTGGGGCTGCTTGTTGTAGGGAACTTTTACTCCTTGAACCTAGCCTAGGGGTAGTTTGCCATGTTTCCCAAGACAACACTCCAGTGGGCTCAACCATGCCCAGGGCATCCCAGAACACTTCATGCCTGCTTACATGTTTGGAGTTCACTCCAGTAAGGTGACAGTGCAAATCTGCCCATGGGAGCTTGCACCCAGGACAGTCCTGACCCCTTCTCACCCCTGTTACCCATAGCCTGTGGCACCACTGATAACCAAGGCAGTTTTCCATTATGAACACATAACATGCAATTTAAATAGAGAACAAGAAAAAGCATGAAAAGAAAAAAAAAAAAAAAAAAAAAAAAAAAAAAAAAAAAAAAAAAAAAAAAAACCCCAAAAAACCCCCCCTACT